AATGAAGTTCTGCGAACAGTATGATAGTAGTCATGAAAAAGTCCCTAAGAACAAAAATCACAGATGGCCAAAACGATGCTGGCAGCAGCAGTCTGGACAAAACTGTGAGCTCACAATGACAATCAAAAGTACTAATGTTTAGAAACATAACGAAAGAGAAAATCAGCATCATCGTCGCCACCACTGTAAGAAGCGTAGCAGCATTGACGGTGGGAGCAAGAACAACTGCGATCACAGCGTCCTCCAACTCAAACTCTCTTCCCTTATAACAGACCTTGAACCATGGACCCTCAACCCTACCGTAAACTCCAACCCAAAATCCTGAAGCTCAGCCGTTGTGTTGTAATCATGAGTCCTTGTTGAAAGCCTCCGGGTCATGAATCTTGCCAAGGACGAAATCCTTGTCCGAAGGGAAGGATGCCTCGGCGTCGCGGACATCCAACCTGGCAAATGATCTAAGGCAAAGGCGGTTGCGGGTTTTTGGTCTATGCAAAAGCTGACTCGTAGGCTCCCACTTCAGAGCTCTGGTTGAAGGGCTCAAGCTTTAGTTTCTGCAAAGTTGATACAGATTGCAGACTGCTGCCGGATCTCGCAAGCGGTCCCTAGACAACCATAGAATCAATCCTCACACATCATCTCAACAAGCCTGGTATACACAATATAACACCGATTTCACTTTCTATATACTGTCCTGCACACAATTCGTCCTGCAACAAAGATCAATAAAATATACGTACTCTACATACACACATAAAGGCAAACACAGTCCAAGAACCCTCCCCAATCCGGAAGCAAAAAATGAACCGCAAATTATCGCCAAAGCAACTGAGCCAACCGATCCAGGCAAAGATCTCGAGCTGCTGCTGAGTGGATCTTGATGGCCTGTACATGAAGATAAGAATTTTACAAAACTCTTGGAAGAAAATGCTGCGATGATGTAGGGCTTGACAGGGATTGTGTAGGGCTATGTACATACTGTGATTGCAAGCGGGTATTACATGAGGCAGTGCTATTCATCATGGTAAAAACAGGCCAGCGCGTCCTCTTTTCCTAACTCTAGGAACGCTCTGGGCACAACACGACCCTTACATGATTTGTGCCTTAAGCGAGTTCTTGTCGATTTTTGCCGATCCGAATCTCTATTTTGGTTGGTGAAAGGTCCAACTACCCTTTGCACACTGAAACCAGCCAAGATACACTCCCAATTTGACTTTGCATAAATTTGTCCATCAATCAATCCCCGCAAACCAAAGGGCAGTGCATTTTCAGAGATCCGAATGCCTGTGGTAAGTGTATCTCACGTGCTTCCACCAGCTCGGCCAAACACCACACCTGACTGTCGCCGGTTCAAGCTCTGCGAATCCCCAATGACAAACCCTACTATCTCTAACAATGTTGAAATATTGTCAATCCTTGGAACCTAGGCCAAACCCTTACCACGAGCAAACGTCCTACGCACTTCCTAAACCCTTCCCTAAGCTTGCATAAGCCAAAATGAACTGTTCTAAGCATAGCTCAGGTACACGCGTCAGGAGAGAGAAGTCCGCCTCCATAGCAACCACTTGCTCGAATCTTGCCTTACCTGTTGCGCTCAAGGTGTCCTCTAGGTCATCTTCGATTGCGTTGGGAAAGGTTGAGATCTAGGCTTTGGAGTGTAGAGTTGCTGGTTTAGGCTTTGGGGCTTAGGGTCTGCGGCTTGGAACTTGTGGTTGGCGGGTTCTGGTTTAGGGCGTTGTTTACGACGTGTCAGGAAACGCTTACAAAGGATTGCTCATGGACAGGATCATGCAAATATCACAGGGGGATCAAACGATGCATGATGAAGTCGCCTCTTTGCTTCGTAAATGTCAACAAAAACTTTGGAGTCCTTGAGGTAGGCCATCATGTCGTCGAATTTATTCATCTCGCTAAGCTCCCCAGAAAAATGTTTCGCCGTTGAGCAGCAGCAGGGGGTTATGGCATACCCTGTGGAGTCGCTGGGCGGCGGACTTGCGCAGATTCCTGTATGCTGATTCACTGAGAAAGCGCAGATCCAGTAGCGAACATCCAGCTGCCCTTTCTTGCGCAAGGCCTCTGTCAGCTTCAAGAACTGACGACTTGCGAGGCTCTGTGCAAGCTCGTCGTACTTGTCTGCATTCCTTACCGATTTTTCAGGAGAAGTGAGGGGCGAACATGCACACAACTGTACATGGATAGATATGGATCCAATCCTATACACTTACTTACGCATCACTGAGGTTCAAGGCATCTGCGAGAACTGCGGCCAGAAGGTGACTGAACTTGTTCCGCCAGCTGTGTGTCACCATCTTGGAGGCGAGATTTGCTCTCCCCCCATTGACCGCCGTGGCATAGGCGTATCCCTTCATGTCTTCCCTTTCTTCTGACAGAATGCCGCGAGAGGCACAACGCAGCTTGCTTGCAGGGAAGCAACTCTGAATGACGGTTGGCTCGTCTGCATCAGTGCCAACATCTTCACCCGCATGGCCTCACTAGGTCTCGAAATGAGGAGTGGAAGATTGGGAATTTAGCATCAAGGCTTGGGGGTTGATGGGGGTTTTAGGGATCATGATTTTGGGGGGGTTCATGGGATTCTGGTCCTCCTACACACCCGAAAAGATGGTGCATCATGTCCATAAGTCTCCCCTAAGAAAACTATACTGTTGGCGCATATCCTGCCAGCATGCTAGAGCTGTGGCTCTTCGTCTGTCTCCACAGGGATGTAATGCGGGATCTGGATCTGGGCGTTCCTGGGCCGGATCTGGGGGAAGATTTGGAGCTTCTTTGGGGACCCGGACTCGTCATGAAAATCCAAAGCTGTATCCAACCATGGCCCCATGAGGGGAATTCATCGACAAACAATAACCGCTGTTTTCAAACCTGACCCAGATGCTGGATGTTTGGATGATATGCGCAGCCTCTTTTGCTTTCTCCAAACTTGCATAAGCCGTGATGGAAGCATAAAGCCAGCCACAACATTCTCCATCCTTTGGCGGGTTCTCGAATTGAAGCTGCTGTACCAGATTCAACCCTTGCCAGAAATGCTCTGCTCCCACTGACAAACAGCCAATAGGATCATCGCTGGAAAGAGAGTCGCGATTCCAAACACTCAGGTGAAGGCTGTCCTCGCCCCTGTACAAGTCCTCGAGCAGGTAAAGAGCTCCACTCCATGAAACTGAAGGGGTGGTGTAAATTCAACAGACCCGTCTACTTGCAACCATGCTTTCACTAAAGCAGTGCTCTTCCGCCCTCTACATGTCAATGAAATTGCCGGGTTTCACTTTCTGAACCACCACCACCGACTAACATCAGGTTCCCTC